TGTGTGCGCGCGCGCGTGTGTGTGTGCGCGTGCGTGTGTGTGTGTGTGTGTGCGCGCGTGCGTATGCTATGTATATGTATATGTATATGTGTGTGTGCGTGTAGAGTAAACATACTTATACATTTATAGTAAGAAGTATATATATATATATATACAAGATGTCTGTATATATATTTTACTATTAAAGATATTCAAAAGAAAGAGTTTTAGAAAAGTTGTTTGATATAATGATGAACAGAAAGAGTTCTTTTGCAAGTGTAGTAAAGAAAATTTCGAGGCTTAAATAAAACTTTACATTTATTCATAAATAATATGATATTCAGATTAATCCAACGGAATTAGTTTATTTTTTGAAGAGTCACAAATTGTCGAGAAACAGTTGCATTGAAACAGTTGCATGAAAATATACGGTCAACTGAGACTTGAAAACATTTGTAAAATCAATTTGATATGTATCTTCAAATAGTACAGAAAAGAATAAATGTAAAGCCTTTAAATCAACCTCTACGTTTACAAACTTTTTCTAATAAAATTTCATATTAAATATAAAGACGATGCTATACCATTACGACTATTAGCTAAATCAAAATTTCAAAAAAAGGTATTATAATAAAACTCATAAAATTGACTGAATTCAGTTAATCAATGATTAATCGATGAAATTTTTCTATGAAACTACTTAATTAGTACAAAAGTATAAATTTATACATAAATTTTATTACATAAACTCGTATGTAAAAATTTGTTTATTATTATTATTATACTATATATACAATTAATAATACAATTAAACTAAATTCGTACTTCAAGTTATTCATTTTTTTATATAAATACAGTTAAGGCTATATAAACTATAAAATACACAAATTAACATATGTATTTCTTAATACAAACTATTATTACAGCTATGCTACAATGATACTAACTGAGAATTAGGAATAGAATAAACAATTACAGACAAAAAAAGAAAATCTAAATATCATTATTATTATTAACTCAATTATCAATGCTATTGATAATTACTAATTCACAGTATTACTAACTCAGTTATCAATACTAACTTAATTACTGTTTGTACTTATCTATTACAACTTGGCAAATTAATCCTAGTTTTTTGTCTACAGTATTATTTCCAATCTGATTTATTGATCCTTCGTTGGAATTAATGTCTTCATGAGTACTATGAATACAATTTACCTGATATTTTTTATTTGAAAGTGCAACAGGTACCTTTGATACCATTTGAGAATTACTCGTAGTTTCTATATGTTGTGTGTTAAAATTATCCTTTTTATCAGATGGAATGATGACAGTTTCTGGTGAATTTGATTTTATATGAATTTCATCATCTGACATGACAGGTTCCAAAATGAAACTTTCAGAATCATCTGAATTCACATCTTCTTTTATATTTATGAACTTATTTGTCTGTTTGTCAACGTTAGACAGTAGAATATGCTTGTGTTGTGGACTATACAAAGCCACTGTGCTACATGAACTACATATATCACTATCATAACCTATTATCTCTATTTTCTTTGAGTCATTTTGTTTGCTATTAACTGGTTGCTTCAATGTATTTGTAACATTCTCATTTAATGACTCTCTTTTTAATATAATATCTGTACTTTTTTTATTCACTGTAGAATTTGTTTGTGGTTCTTTTACAATGTTACTTAAAACAGATAATATCTTTTTCTTACTTTGTAAACTATTCCCGTTATCATCTTGAGTAGCTAAAGTCTGATTTGTTTCCACAATGCTATCTTTTCTTTTCAATGGTATTTCATCATCTCTATTGTTATTACTTCTAATATTCTGCCAAGTAGTGTTTTTGTTACTTTCCCAAACATTTTTTTTTAATCTTTTAGTTGTGTCTGGCGATTGTTTTCTGTGAGTATTTTCTGAAAATATTTCATTGCAATTGCTGTTTTGCGAACTTACTTCCATCATTTCCAAATCATCATTATTAAAATTAATTTCGCTTTCTATCTCCATATCTTCATTATTAATATTACAGCCATTTTGTTCATTTGAACTAGATTTCATGGCCCACTTAAGATAAGAGTTTTCTAAAACTTTTTGTTGTTCAGTTAATTCTTCCTTTAATTTGCTGATAATACTACTGAAAATGAATATCATATCTCCAGCATTCTGCAACGTTACTATATTTTCTGTAATATATTTTGACTGTACTTGACTTACATGAAATTTATACTTTGAAAACTTATATTTTAATCCTTCTATCACATTTTCAATGTGAGGTTTAAAATTTTCAACACTCTGTTTCTCTTGTCTATTTTGTAATACCGAAGTATTAGTTCCAATTAAATGTGAATTACAATTATGACAATTTTGTTTATCAAAAGCATTATCTCCTCTAACAAACCTTATATCTTCAACAATATTGCATCTTTTCTTATTACCATTATTTGTTCTTAAATACGTTGTTTTATTTTGGATTTCAAATAGAGACGAATTGGAAGAAGAAATATCAATTAAATCATAATCTATAATGGTCTGCTTTTTATTTTGAATGCGTTTTATTTTCTTTTCTTTTATAGATCTGTTATCATTATCAGAATTATCGAAATCACTATCACTTGTTAAATGTATGAGTCTTTTTTGATTATCAATATCCTTCCTTTTTATATTATTTCTATATGTATTCATATACTTCTTACTACTATAATTTTGCAACACAGAACGGTTATTATTTGAATTTTTTCTTAAAGAACTATTTTTGTCATATGTTGTATCAAAACTTAACTCATTGCTAGATTCTTCTGTCGATGAAATAATCTGTTTATAATCTCTTTTTCTGAAACAAGAAATATCTCTATTTGTTTCTTTAATAATCTCTATTTGTTTCTTTTTAACATATTTTATTTATTACTTCTTATACACGCACTTCTTATTCATTTTATCTCAGAACACAGATATAATGTAAATATGTGCAATTAAAATTTTATTCTATTATAGAAGTTTTATTATTATTATAAGTTATTATACTTTAAAGAAATTCGAATAAATTACACTTCGAAAATCAAATTAAGATTAATTGTATCTAAAAACAAAAAAAAGCTTACCTACGAATTACAGACATAATGATAAAGTGAAATTATTTAATTAATCAAAAATACGTCCCTTTATCACACTTTGTTAAATATCAAATCAAATCTCAAACATATAAAATCACCACTAGATGTACAAAATGTGTGCCACCATTTTGGGTAATTTTCGCCATCTATAAAGTCAATGTGAAACTACATCTTACTGTTAGAGCCAAAATTTTATTTATTAAATATATATTGTACTAATGAGGAAATTATTGTAATTTAAATACAGCAATTAATTTATATAATTATTCATTGCTGTGTATAATAATTTAATTTATAATTCTTATTGATTACGACGTACATATAGCATCATGAATTATTGACATATTAGAAATATTTAACATTATTATAATTTGTTAGCAAAATTTTTATACATAAGGTTTTATAAAATTTAAAACCAGTTACGAATGTCTTTTATATAGTAGATCAATAATTAATAAGGTCGATGTTAAGAACAATTTCTAAATTTTGGAAAGAAAGAATTTCTAAAAGAATTTCTTGAGATTTATATTAATAATATATTACATTTTAAACTAAAGCATTTCACTTATTAATTATCAAATTTGTTTTTATCCGTTGAACATCTGGCTCTGCAAATGTTGTGGAGACGAATATTTTATAGAATTGTTTTATATTTTAAGATGTATATAAAAGGGAATGAAACAAATGAAAAAATATGTTGTAAATATTACACAAAAATATTTTCGTGAAATAAAATGAATGTTTTATCTGTCTAACAGGTATTCCGCGAATTGATGAAAAGTATCCAAGCCGTAGAAGGTAGACCACCTTCGCCTACTCCAGCACCCTCGCAACCTCTACGATCTCATTCGCATGATACCAGCGAAAAATGTATTCTTCTCTGACATTGAAGCCAGAAAATCAACGTACTCGACTTCTGCGATCACATCATCAAAGGAAGTTGCTTCTACCCATACCATGACACAGGGTCGTAGTTTATTTGAACTGAAGGCGAGAAACAAACGTTCACAAAAAATGCGAAAGTTCAATTCCATCGAGAACCCAACCAATTATTCTCTCGGCATTTCTTTAAACCGAGTTGTAATCCGGAGTAAACGGGAGCTGTTTTGGTTCATTAACACGACAATGATTGTTCGAGATTTTTCGTGAAAAGCACGGCCACCTTTTTCCAAATAAACGAAGATCCTAGATTTAATATAATTAATATAGTTTTTCGTAAATTTAATCCCATAAGTACAAACTAAAAACGAGTAACGAGTAATTTCGTTCTTATTTCTTTCTGTCAATTTCAATGTTTGTAATAATCGTTTGATTCACTTTTCGTGGATGATTTCTCGTAGTTCACGAATTACCAGTATTACAAAGAGTAAGAAATTAGTGTTGAAGGAAATATATATATATATACGAATCGAAGAATCTTCGGATATATCATCTGTGAATACTGTTCCCACCGAAACTGCTCATTGTGTAACTTTAACACTGAAAAATAATGCAATCATGTTGTACAATTGCTCTTTTTGCGTCGAGAGCGACGGAAAGATGTTGCGAATACGTATAATACATACGTAACTTACTGCCGAATCCCTCTATGTACAATTTAATTTCCACCAATTTAATTTATTTTGTAATTCGCTTTGTAAATATACCGTGCATATTTCTTACATTATTCTGTATCACAAGGCAATCGATATTAATGCATAAATGAATTTATCTCGCATTTTGAAATTAACTTGACTTAAGGTTTGAAATCGTTTGAAAAGTACAATCGTATGATCGATAAATATTACTATTGTAATGGCTTTAGTTTAAGAAACCTTTCGTTCAGAATACGAGAGATAAATTTGTTTATAGATTAAAACTAGCCATCCTTCGTGTGCCACCTTCGTAACTCACATTTCGATGGAATATTAAGAAATCTCTGCATCTCCAAACGCAACAAAGTTCACTCTATTTTTAACGTTGCTTTATCTGTGATATGTTTTTTATCGTTTATTGCTCTGTCACTACACACTGAAATGATTTTTTTTCGTTCACTTTCCAATAATGCATTCGGCCTAATAATAATAATATTAATATTAACAATAACGACATTAATAATATTAATAATATTAATAATAACGACGATGATAATAGCGAACAAATAAATGTAATAATAGTGTGTTATTGAGAGTTACCTCAGATCAAGCAATAGTGTATACAATATACATACATATATTTTACTATACTGTTAAGGAATTAATCACTAGCCGGTAAGTGTAGCTGTTGATATTGTGAAATACCGTACACCTACACATATGCAGATCTCTAAGAAAAAAAGTGTGTGTTAACCGTTGTTGTCGTTTGTACGTATTTTAACGTAAAAAACATAATATTAGCTCAATGATTAAACGACTTGTAAGGAAAGAGATTCCGGTCAACAAAGTTCGACGATCGTTGAACGATCGTTAACGAGTAATTTCTGTTAATTGCCAGGATCGAGAAAGTTAACACTAACAATTGTCGATTGTTATTTAATTTCCACGATCAATTTTGTTGCCCAGAACACGTGTAGATCACGCAGAAAGAATATACGTAAAGTGTTGAATATATCGAATAGAACAACATACAAAAACTGTACATTACATAACATACAAACATGTGTTCGTTGGAAAAAAAGAAAGAAAAAGAATCTTTGTACCGAAATAGCGGATCTCACGACTAGACAAGGTACAGAAATTTCGACGCGAATTTGCACAGCCATCGAGAGTGTGTCGAGCAAGCGTTGTTTTACATACAAAATATCACGCATTATTTTGTATGCCAGAGTAATGCAATAAAAAAAGAAAGAAACTGAATAAGCTGTGTAAACGAATCTTTTAATTCATTTCCCGATTTCTATTTCTAATTAGATGATGCGAAGTTAGATCGAGATCAAATATTACTACAACATTTGAAAAAGAGAATGTCCGTTATTGTTCAGAACTATTATCCTTAATTTATTATATTAGTTATTTATTGTACAAGTATTTTCGACGTTTAATGTTTCACCAAAACAGTATGTTGCTGAAGAAAAACAAAAAAGCATACCGCTTAAATGTTGCAACAAAAGATACCATCGTAATTCCATCTCTTAATTCGAAACGAAACAATGATTAAATTTCACGTTTTATTTTGCACAAATAAATTTATATAAAAGTGAAGATAAAAACGAAAGTGCAGTAAACGAATAATGCGACGTATTAGTTTTTTTCTTTTATCGTTTCCTGACAATCTTTCATCACGAAAATGAT